GCTGAATGGCCTACTCGTCCTAAATACTATGTTCCTGTGTTCCTAAACTTTTTTTTTTATTTTGAGAACAATCTGACTGAAAAGAAGCCAATCATTGGAATTTTTTCTTCAGAATGAGAACCTGACAGCTGCTTCAGCTTTCTATTGAGATGGCTGTCTTCAAGGGCATCAGATTTGTATAAACTTAATGTTCATCCTTTGAAATTACCTGAACGTTCCCTCCAGTCTGCCAATAGTATGTTAGGAGAGCATCTCCTCAGTATCTCAAGCCAATAGTCATAGAGCAATTACAAAATAGACAACAAGATGATAGCGGACGAAGACGCATCCCTCCCTGATGCACTCAGTGCTTTCTATGCTTGGTTTGAGCAGAATACCATCGGTGTGGTGACGCCTGCCCCGACAGCCCTGGACACACCTGGTCCCTTGGTCACAGCTGCAGACATCAGATTGGTCATCCTGAGAGTCAACCCAAGGAAAGCGATGGGGACACTGTCCGAGCCCAGCCAAGCACTTAGATCCTGTGCGGACCGATGAGCAGAGGTATTCCCCGACATCTTCAACCTCTCCCTCCCAGATGCCACAGTCCCCAAATGCTTCAAGGAGACCACTGTCATCCCTGCACTTAGAAAGCACATGCAACATGCCAAAATGATTACGGCCCAGTGGCTCTGACCTCAATCGTGAAGTATTTTAAGAGGCTGGTCATGGCCCACATCAATTCCACTCTTCCAGCCTCCCTTGATCTCTTACAGTTTGTCTACCAACATAACAGGTCCACAGTGGATGCCATATCCCCAGCCCAGCACTCGTCCCTGGAACATTTGGACAACAAGGACACCTTTGTCAGACTCCTGCTGATTGACTATAGCTCTGCCTTCAACACCATTATCTCCTTCAGAGTGATCTCACAACTCTGTGACCTTGGTTTCGGCTCCGTCCTCTGCAACTGGATCTTCAGCTTTCTGGCCCACAGGTCACAATCAGTGTAGACAGGTAACTGCACCTCCTCCACAATAACACTCAACACTGGAGGGCGCCCCCCCCCCCCAACAAGGTGCATCCTCAGCCCCCCTACTGTATTCCCTGTGTACCCACGACGGTGTTGCCAAATTCCGAATGAATGCCATCTACAAGTTCGCTGATGACACCACTGTAGTGGGATGGATATCTAACAATGACGAGTCAAAATACAGATGGGAGATAAAGGGTTTGGTGATGTGCTGGAATGAGAACAATCTCTCTGTCAACTTCACCAAAACTAAAGAACTGATCATTGTCTTCAGAAAGAAAGGGGGAGAACATGCCCCCCATCTATGTCAATGGGACTGAGGTTGAGAGGGTAGAGAGTTCCTCAGTGTGACTATAACCAACAACCTGTCCTGGGATTCCCATGTAGATGCGACAGTCAAGAAGGCAGAACAATGCCTCCTCTTCCTCAAGTGGCTCAGGAAATTTGGCATGTTCATAAGGTTCCTCACCAACCTCAACAGATGCACAATTGAAAGCATACTGTCCAGGTGCATAACGGTCTGGTATGACTGCGGAAAGGCTGCCAACATCATCAAAGACCGAGTGAACCCTGGTAATGATCTCTTACAGCCTCTTCCGTTAGGCAGAAGATACAAAAGCCTGAACACGCGTTCCAGCAGGTTCAGGAACAGCTTCTTCCTGGCCCTTATTAGACTGATGAATGAACTCTCTAGCCTCAAATAATGCTGATCCTGCTAACGTTGATCTTGCCTAGCGCACGCCCTGTGAAATGTAACTTGTATGCCTCAGTCCAAGTCTTTTTGATCTCTACGTCTTTGCTTACTACGATCTGCCTGTACTGCTCATAAACAAAGGTTTTCACTGTGCTTCGGTGCACGTGACAATCAATAAATCAATCTGGATCTCTGAATGGAATGGTACATTCTAGATTGAAGCTCTTGAGATTTTTTGTCTTGTATGTCTTTTTCTGCTAATTGCATTGTCACCTGATCGTAGCAGTGACTGTCATTGCGTAGGGTGTCTTGACCACCTCAATCCTCCATTTCACCCAAAAGTCCCAAAAATAGGGTAACTGTTTATTTTGGTCTTTATTTAAAAGAAATTGTGCAAAAATGGATGTGCTGACACTAGAGACTACTCCTCACAAACATTAAATAAAATATTTTTAACTGTAAGACCTTACAAGGTAAGTTAGTTTAATTTTAGAAGCTGCAGTTCTCTCCCTTCCAGTGCCACACCTGAGTTTGCCATGCCATCATTTCCCAGCTGTCTGTACAATAATGAGGCTAATTTGCAATATCCCTGATCCACTTGCTGCAAATGGAGCAATGTTCCAAAAAATAATGGCATAAATGTAGATATAAGCAGAACTGACAAGTCTAAATTTTGCTGTGCACCACTAAATACTTTTTACAAATTTAGGCCTGTTGTTGGGCAAGGTTGGTGTTGGGTCATGTGTAAATGTGATGTACTAGAGCTTGATTCTGAATTTTCTGAACTTCCTATTGATTGTGGAAGAATATAGTACTGTGATACTTACTGAACAAATTATACAGCAGAAATACTCAAAGCCTGAATTGTCCACCGTAGCAATGAGAGCAATGGTTTTGAATGGGTTTGCAGTGCAATTGGAATCTTGCACTCACCCCTTTCATCCTCAAACCATTCACTCTCCATTACGAGAGTGCAGTGTGAGTTCATGTTGTGTAGGGCTGGTATGTGTTGTCAATAAACACCTCTTCTATCAGTGGAACTATAGCAGCCAACTGGTGCTCCATTAAATCTACAGTGGGTTATCCGACAAAATCTGTTCTGTCCCTCCCTTTTCTCCCAAGTGTTTGAAGTTCCACAGCGTTGGGCAGGATGGCTTATTGTCTCTTATATGTTTTCTCTGTACGGCCTGCAGCAGGTTGTGTGGAATACATTGTAGGATATTGACTTGGCAGACTCGATGGTAATGTGTTGTCTCTGCAAATTACTGAGCCTGGCAGTAATTTTGTTTCTTCAGCATGGGGTTAATCGGAGAGATTTGAACCACTAAAACATATGCAGTATAACTTCTGCTATTCTCTGCTAAGCACTGATGTTAATGCATCAATAGGGCTCGCAGAGAATTAACAAGAATTTCAACACTAGCAGCACAAACATCAAATTGCACAATTGCTGACTGAGACCATACAGCAGAAGCAAGCAATGTGGTAATCTGCCATGGCTTCAAATGAAGATATCCTGTGAGAAAGATTAGGAATTGGAGTTCATACAGTGCAAAAGCACAAAATGCTGCTGCTGCTATTGGAAGACCCCTATAAAAATAGGAAATGCTGGGAATACTCAGGTCCTGACAGTAATTTGTGGGGAGAGAAACAGTTACTATTTCCTCTAAATGGACTATCCTTTTCCTGGCTAGATGAGAAGACAAGCTGAAATTTTTTTTTCCATTCTTCCCATGTGCTGCTGGGCTGTGACTGTTTCCAGCAGTGATCTGCTTTACTTAATCTCATCATGATAGTTTGCATTTGTTTTACTTGTGCTTTTGGACATAGACACTGATTACAAGGTATTGTTTATTGCCTATCTCTATTTGATTTGAGGGTTTTCGATCAATTGCATACTGTCACTGAAACCACAAAGAGAGCAGGACACTGCCTGATGGGTATTGCTGAACCAGTTGGGATTTATTTTACTCATTCATTCATGTGGGTGTCACTAGCTGGGTCAATGCTTATTGCCTGTCCCTCATTTCCCTAGTGAGCTGCCCTCTTGAACGACAGCAATCCATGTCCCGTAGGTAGACCCACAATGTTATTAGGTAGGGAGCTCCAAGATTCTGACCCAACAACACTGAAGGAATGAAGAGGTATTTTCCAAGTCAGGATGGGGAGCAGCTTAGAGGGGAACTTGTAGATGTGGTGGTGTTTTACCATAGTCAGGCAGGTTTGCGCACGATTCTTCAGGGCAGAAAGGAAAAAAGTAGTGTTGGGTGGATCTTTATCAAACTGGTAGGTCATGTCCAATGATGTTTCTCAAGGTTAGCTTTGAATCCATTACGCTTTCTCATTTTTATAAATGATGTTGACTGAGGTGTAGAGATCAACATCAAATTTGGAGATAATGCGAAACTTGTCAAAGCAGTATAGTGATGAGACTAGTTATAGGCTTCAGAATGACAGAGCAATGAATTGAGCAGCATCAGGGATTTTAAGTACTATAGGGGCAAAAAAAAACTGGAGATGCTAGAATCCAAGATAGATGAACTGGAGGCTGGAAGAACACAGCAAGCCAGGCAGCATCTGGAGGAAAGGAGAAGTCAATGTTTCGTATAATACCCTTTAGGACTGAATTTGGGGGTAAGGGGAGCTGCAGAGGGAGCCCTTTAGCCCTGTAAATGTATTTCCCTCAAATGTCTAATTGATTTCCTTTTGAGCTGTCCTTCATCTCTGCTTTGACCACACTCATGGGCAGAGTTTTGAGTCATTAGCACATGTTTGTAAAAATGTTCTTGCTCAAGAATATTGCCCGAACCCCCTCATCTGTAACCCATTTGTCCTTAAATCATTATCTAATGGGAACAGCTTTTCTTTGTCTCCCTTTTCTAATCTTATCGTAGGCTGCAATCAAATTTGCCCTCAATCTGGGCAAAGAACAACTACAGCTTCTCCAAATTAACCTTTGTAGCTAAAATTCCTCATTCTTGGAACCGTCCCGTAAATCTGCAATCTCTGAAAGATCCCTACTGTTCTAGGCAGTCAACTTACATATAAGAAGCTCCCACATAACAGCAGTGTGTTAATGACTAGGTTATCGGTTTATGCAAGGTTGCTTTGAGGGATACATGCTGGTCAGAATATCCTTGAGTTAATTAACCATTTTTCCTTGGATAACCTAAACTGGAACTCCAAAATCCAGGGAAAATGATCTGGTAGCCAGGCTTAGCTTATTCTTCGCTTTTTTGAAATTGATCTGCTTCTGTGTATTGGTGTAAATTTCATGTTTTCTGTCTATCTTAGGACCAATTGCCTGAATTGCACGTGCACTTTCGATCACAGAGTTTCCATACGTCTATGTATGCATCTTCCTGGTTCCTGACCATTTTTCTCACCACGTTTTCACTGCCGTTAGCTACCAGAATATTTGACATATTTATGTATGAGGTAAGATCTTTGCATCTGCAATGTGATTGAACTCATATAGAATAAAACAAAAGTGATTGGCGTAACCAAGTTTGCTTTACCCAGTTAATGTCAGACTTCATAACAGGAGTAAAGATGAATTCCCTTCTCTGAAATAGGTGTGTCGCATGTTAGGGTATATCTGGCTTCAGAGAGTGCACTATACATTTTGTGAGCATCCCTTTCACAGTTCCAAAAACTCTGACACCATATCTTTTGAGAGAAAGATCAAGCAGTGAATGGTGCAGTCAGCCTCGGAGATACACTGAGCATGTTGGAGTGACATTCCATTCTGTGTTCCCTTCCTGAAATGTGTTCATTTCTCCTCCTTTCCTGCAGTGATATAGGTCTGGCCCTTTCCAGGTGTAATCACAAGCCATGTAAGTAGAGAAGTGATGAATGTTATATCGGCTCATTACCAGCACCAAGTCAAACAAGCAACTGTATGCAAAGCTTCTGCCTGGTGTTAGGGGCTCCAGTTCAGATCATTCACTTTTATGTTGACTTATTGAATAATGAATACTGTTTTGAAATTTCTTGTATATTATTTTAGGAGAAACCTCATGTTATTTTAGGGGCTTGTTAAAGGGTTGTTGGCAGGAGAAATAGCTTAATTTTGACAAATCCTCGTGACTGCGAAGTAGCTGAGTGAGGCATAAATTTCTGCACAATGCAGGGAATGTCCCTGCTTCTGGGCAAGCAGCAAGAGCTCTGAGCTACATACACTGGGTGTTCGTGAGAATCATTTCATGTGCATTTATCACTGAGCACTCTTTCTGGCCTTTGTTTCCACAATGGCTTTCAAAGTGGAATAGTTTGTTGAAAAAGTTTAATGCAACAAACAAGACTTAGTACAGTTTTGTGAACTGTGTCCGATTTCCCAAAACTGCATTCTTGTGAGATTTTCGAAGCTTGCTGTTCAGAGAGAATTGCTTGATTCAAAGCATGATATCCTAAATGTTCTTTGAAACCCTGTTCCCATTTTTCTTTCTCGGTCACGTTTTTATCCCCAATACTAGCTCATTCTGCAACTTCCTATCTTCCACAAACACTCACTACCACCTCCCAGCAAGACACTGATATCAAAATTCAGACCCAATGTGTTATCATAACATGAGCTATTTCGAAGGAGGTTAGCCATTGGGAGTTGGACTTTGCAGCTTCTGGAAATTAAGAAACTAACTGTTGCCTTCATGCTGATGTCAAATCTTCAGAATGCAATTCTTTCTCTCCCTCTACTTGTCCAACACTGACAGCTGTTCTGAATGGTGCTAGGTTTCAAGCATGTGTGCTGTACTATCTTTGCCCAATGCATACAGGTTGTGAAAATGAAATATGCAAAATTGTAGAGTCAACTTCCATTCTTGGTCATTTTTCAGAGAGGAGAAGTAAGATGGCATGTTTGTTTTGAGCTAAATGTAGTTTATTGTTGTGACCCAGTCAATACATTGCAGTCTTCAATTTGATGAACAGTTCTCCCATTCCTGTAACCTGTGATGCATAACCACCATGTTATGGAGATTGTAGAGTCTGACTGTACGAATACGCTCAATTATGTAGGGTCACCTCTTCATTAATGTGAATCCTTCACATTCTATTTCTACTACACCACCATTAACATTACAGATCAGCTATATCACTCCAAAAATAATTTTACTTGAACAGAATAGAAGTCCACACTTTATGTAAGAGCTTATTTTAGTTTGCCACACTCTGTAAAATACTCAACACATTGATTACTAGCTCCCCATATTTGTACAACCAATTCAAACCCAATCAACTCTCCATTTAAAAAGCCATCAGTCATTCCCTCATTTCATTAGGTCTTGGGCATTCCTTCAGACCATGTTAGATAAGTGTTTGTACTCAGTGTTTTTATTTTAAATGATGGAATGGTTAGTAATGTGAAAATGACTAGATAATCTGTTTGTGAAGATACCTGGAGGCTATTCTAGAAGTTAGTGTGGGTGAACAAAGCAATTTGAGCATGGCTGACTTTCCACTTGGCTTTTCTGTCCTGGTTTTGTAACCTTTTCAAATCTCTGTTTACTTTGAAATGCATTCTTGTGTTGGCAGGGTTTGGAAATAGTGTTTCGCATTGGGATGGCCATCCTTCAGTTTAACCAGGTGGAATTGATGCAACTTGACATGGAAGGAATGTCGCAGGTAAAAGCAATCAGTGTCTCCACAGCAGGAAATAAGTTATCTGCGCAGCCCCCTTCCACAGAGTAGTTTTAACTCTGGCTGAGATTTAAGTCATTCTTCGTGCCCCAGTGAATCATTGTAAAGAGTTTAAACAGTGAAACCCTATTCACAAAAATATCTTTCTAACATTGTCTCCACCTCCCCCCTCACCCCACCCCCCCAAAAAAAAGAAATTTCTCCTCCCTGTCATGAGAGGGAAAGAGCAGGGTAGGGTAGGTGAGCTGTGCAGTGAGAGAGCCGCGAGTACGACTTGGTAAGAAGCACTTACCCATGTTTTCAAGTTCAATGGGTAGGCACAGGAACTGAGACAACAAGGTGCAGGGCTGGATGAACACAGCAGGCCAAGCAGCATCATAGGAGCAGAGAGGCTGACGTTTCGGGCCTAGACCCTTCATCAGAAAAGGGGGAGGGGAAGGGGGTTTTGAAATAAATAGGGAGAGAGTGGGAGGCGGATAGAGGAGAGGATAGGTAGAGAGGAAACAAACAGGTCGAAGAGGCGGGGATGGAGCCAGGAAAGGTGAGTGTAGGAAGGGGATAGGTCAGTCCAGGGAGGACGGACAGGTCAAGGGGGCGGGATGAGGTTGGTCGGTAGGAGATGGAGGTGCGGCTTGAGGTGGGAGGAGGGGATAGGTGGGAGGAAGAACAGGTTAGGGAGGCAGGGACGAG